AAAAAAAAAAAAAAAATACAGTACCTTCTCCAACTTTAATTTAATCTTTTGACAAGAGGTTCTTTTATTCCATACTAACTTTAGATGGTTGCCTATGCATTTACAGAAAATCCCCAAATATAGATTTAATCGACTTCATAGACATTAGGGGCTGGAAGTGACCTCACGAGATCGAGTCCAGCCCCTCTGCCATAGGCAGGAAGTTTGCTGGGGTCAAATGATCCCAGCAAGATATGCATCCAGGCTCCTTTTTTGAATGAGTCCAGAGTAGGTGCTTGCACCACCTCTGGGGAAGTCTGTTCCAGACCCTGGACACTTGAACTGTAAAGGAGTTTTTCTTTATGTCCAATCTAAATTGGCCTTCCAGAAGTCTGTAGCCTTTAGACTTTGTTATCCCTTGGGAAGCCCTGGTGAACAACTATTCTCCCAGAGCCTGGTGCATACCCCTTGCATACTTATAGGCTCCCACCAAGTCCCCCCTGAGCCTTGTCTTCTCCAGGCTGAAGAGTCCCAAGTCCCTCAGCCTCTCTTCATAAGGCTTGCCCTCTTGGCCTTTGGTCATGAAGGTGGCTCTGCTTTGGACTCTCTCAAGCTTATCCACATCCCTCCTGAAGTGAGGGGGGGGCGGGCCAAAAACTGGATGTAGTACTCCGGCTGTGGCCTCACTTAGGCAGAGTAAAGCGGAATGATGATATCCCTGGTTTTTGCTTGAGATGCATCAGTGGATGCATGCCAGAGTTTGGCTGGCTTTGCCAGCTACAGCATCGCATTGGTGGCTCATGTTCATCCTGTGGTCAATCAAGACCCCCAAGTCTCTCTTGATCGTGGCGCTAACAAGTGTAGCACTGCCAAGCCTATAAGTACGTTGATGGTTTTTCCTTCCAAGGTAGAGCATCCTGCACTTCTTCTTTACATTGAATACCATCAGGTTTTGGTCCGCCCTCCTTGCAAGCCTGTCCAAGTTGACCTGTATCACCACCCTGTCCTTCAGTGTGACTGCCTTGCCCCCTAGTTCTGTGTCATCCACAAAATTGCCAATCCACATCTGACACCTGAATCCAGATCATTAATGAAGATATTGAAGAGTACTGGCCTGAGTTCTGAGCCCTGAGGGACACCACTGGTCACCTTGCACCATGTTGATTTGCTCCCATCAGTTAATACTCTTTGGAGCTGACCCCAGAGCCAGTTCCAAAGCCATCAGACCATGAGAGGATTGTGGCCACAGTTCTCCAGTTTAACCATGAAGGCATCATGGGAGACCAAGTCAAAGGCCTTCTTGAAATCCTGATATGACATCAACCTCATCTCCCTTGTCCAGGCAGTGAATCACCTGGTCATAAAAGGAGACAAGGTTGGTCAGGCAAGACCTTCCAGCGACAAAGCAATGTTGGCTGACACTCAGTTTCCTTCCATTGCTGATGGAGCCCTTGATGATTTTCTCCAGGATCTTTCCAGGGATGGATGTCAGACTGATTTGGCCTGTAATTCCCCTGATCTTCCTTTCTTAAAGATTGGGACCATGTTGGCTCTTTTCCTGTCTTCCAGTACCTCTCCTGAGTGCCATGAGTTCTTAAATACCTTCATCAGGGCACACTCTGATGTCCACAAGCTGCTTCAGGACTCTCGAATGTGTTCCGTCTGAGCCTGTGGACTTATGGATGTCGAGCCTCTTGGTGTTCCCTCACTTGATCTACATTAATTGTGGGACTATCTCCCATCTTCTGGATGCTTTGCGTCCTGTCCAACAGGGTGACCCCTTTGGGCGGGTGGAAATGATGCAAAGTAATCATTTAGGAGATTGGCCTTTTCCTGAGCGTCAGATGTCAGCTTCCCCACTTGATCTAGCCTGGGTCCAATGTTGCCTTTTTGTTCTTTCTCCAACTTCCCACATATCTAAAGAAAAACTTTTTTTGTTGTCCTTGATTCCCATGGCTATCCTGAGTTTGGGTCTTGCCTTGGCTTTTCTGGTCCACTCTCTACAGGTGCAAGCTAGTGTTGTGTAGTCCTCTTTGGTGGTGATTCCCATTTTCCATCTGGTGTAGGCTTCTCTTTTCAGCTTCAGGAGGTCCAAAAGTTCCCTATTAAGCCAAGTGGGTACTCCAGCCCGCCAACTGCATTTCCTGTGGGATGGAATGGACTTTCCATGTGCTTCGAGGATTGGGTTTTTAAGGAACAACCATTCCTCGTGGACTCCCCTTTCTAAGGGACCATGGTGTCTTAGTGCCTGACTGACCAGTCTCCTGAGTTTGTAAAAGTCAGCCTTCCCAAAGTTGAGGATTTCTGTTTTACTGAGAGATTTGCCTGCTCTGCGTAGGACAGAGAAGGTGATCAGTTCAAGCATTCCCTTGATCCTCAGATTGCTCACTAGATCAGCCCCTTTGGCCAGAACCAGATCCAGCAGTACCTCTCCCTTAGTCGGTCTATAGGCCTCTTGTGTTAGGTAGAGCTCATCAACGCAAGCGAGGAAGCTACGCAACCAGTAAGATTTGGCTGTATGCTCTTCCCACAAGATGTTGGGGAGGTTGAAGTCCCCCATGATGCCCAAGCATCAGAAACGTGCAGCCTCATCCAGTTCCCTATTGAATTCATGTTCCAGTTCTTCCTCTTGATTGAGAGGTCTGTAATAGACTCCTACAGTTACATCCCCTTCCCCATGCTTCCCTGTATTTTAACCCGGAGGGTCTCAAGACGCCCTCCTTGGTTGCTAACCTTGGTTTGAAGGGAAGTGTACTGCTCCTTCACATAGAGGGCTACACCCCCAACCCCTCTTCCCAAGGTCTGTAGGCTTTCTGTACCTATGTATCAGTCGTATGTTGGGTCCCACCAGGTCTCCATTATACCTATGAAATCATAAAGTTTGTTTTGGTCTGGCAGCAGTGTGAGACGCATGGGCGGAAGCTCATCATGCGCCTGCAAGCCCAGGGGGCTTTTAAATATGAATGCTTTTAAATACAAATGAGTTTACTATCCATTCAAAGTATGGTCATGAGACTCTATATAGTACATAATGTCTTAATATTCACATTTTATCAGGAAGTTACAGTATTAGACGCTCGCATTTAGATACAAACACTTGTAAACGATCATTAGAAAACAAGCTTGTCCTGTCAAGTTGAAGCATTAGTATGGAAATACAAAAAATATTTCCCAACTGTACATGCTTTTTTTAAAAGTAAAGGAATAGGGACTTCAGTTACTATATGAAACATAATAGTTTCAGTAAGAATTTCTGGAATGTCTTTGGGTTTTAAAACTGAAGGGGTTTTTTTTGAATAAGGGAAAAAGATGTTAGAGGCACCTAATTTAAATGTTTTGTTGCCTTTGAAATATGCTACAGTTGAATATGCTTTGTATGTTCTGATAATGGGAATGTCGTCTTATTTCAAAACTACTGGCTGTGGGTATCTGTCTTTCTGCAATACATTCACCAAAATCACAATTTGCTGCAGCATTATCTACAAATAGCAGTTAGGGTTCCTACCAAACAACCTTTTCAACTGTGATCTAAATATATAGCATACTAGACCAAAGTAGAACTTTTTAAAGCTGCTTTTGTGTGTATCTGCAGTCCAATCAGATGACAAATATGGCCAAAGATAAATATCTTTCTTCAGGACACTTGTAGGGTCTGTCAGTTGTTAGAGTGTTGAGATTTCCTAACAGTTTCTTTAATTAGCACAAAGAGAACAAACAACCTAAAATGCAATTATATGAGCTTTCGTTCTTAAAGCATCATGAATATTAAAATAACTGTTTCCCATCACTATCTTATGAAGATACATTTTGTAGTCTGAAAGTTGAGCCCACACTTTAAAACTGAATAGCAACTTTATTCATGTAGTACAATCCATCTGTTACATTAATTTGGAGCTGCGTAAGTGTATACCAGCTGAGGATATGGCCTAACTACACTTTGTGACAAGGCATTCACATCTGCCTATAAAACAAAGTAGAAAGATAACATAGCTAGGAGGTTTGCAAACTTTTTGGGAGACTGCACTAAAATTGATACCATGCAAAAGGGTTTTTGATAACAAAGCCATAACCAACTTGAAGAGGTTGCTGTTGTTCTTTATGTTCAACTTCTTAAAACTGATGGTTAAAAATTTGGGAGTCTTTCTGGAGGGCTACTGTAAGGTGATATCTATTGATAATGTCTAAGTTTTTTTTTTTTTTACTGTTTTTTCTCTAAAATATTCATGTATTGACTGAAACCGTAATACTTTCTGTAGACAAAATCAAGACCATAACTTTGACTTGTCTTTCATACCTCTAGAAACAAGTAGATCATGTAATTAAGAGCGTCAGGAAGATCTGTTGTACATTGGATGGTGTAGAAACTCCAGCAATTACAGAATCTGTAAAGAAGCTAAGGAGGGCTGTTAATCTTCCAAGGAGTAAAAGTACTGAGGTAAGCATGCCTGTTGCACCTTTTTCACACAGATTAACTGCTTTTTATAAAATAATACCTACAAATAGTGAAAAGAAATAAGTAATAACTAAAGCTACCTATAACTTTTGAAATAGGCTAACATTTTTCTAATAACTTGATTTTAATAACCTCCCTTCTCAGTCTTCTCAAAAATATATTTGCGTCAATGGTGTACTCTTGCCTTTTTGTCCTGTTTAAACAGTCTTAGATTTTTCAAAATGCAATTTGTGAAAAAGTTTGCACATGTGGGTGCAGCATGATAATGAGATTGATTGATTGCATCCATTGTGCTTGCCACACTTGTGCATTAATCTGAGTAAAGTTCTTGGGATTAATCCATGTTCTGCAGAAAACTTCAGTAAGGTTAATTTGCCTTCATTTTCTGACCTTTGATACCAATGGATTTTTTTTTTTTTTTTTTAAATCCTAAACCATCTTTTTCATTCTGGAACTGAGTTGCATTCCTCACCAATTTTTATCTGAAAGTTGCAGGGAAGTTTTTGATTCTTGCATGCAGGACCAAAGAGCCTCCAAAATGGTGCAGATTCTCAAAATAAAACTACCTTATAGCAAACATATTTTCTGTGGAGTTGATTTCAAATCAGACCTTGTTAAATACATCTTCATCGGATTGAAAACCTTTTTAATTAAAAAAATTTAAGTACTGTGGAAAACAAAACGAAGAAAAAGCAGACTTCTTGTAAAGCTGTTCCTGCTATTGTTCCACTTGGCTAATAGTGCCTTATCCACTGTGTTCTAGCTACCTTCCCAGGTTTGCTAATAAGATGGGAAAACTTTGCCATGCTCACCTGGAGTCTTCCACAAAACACAGCAGATACCTTTCAGCCACTGCCTCATCTGCAAAATTCTTGCCAGGGAAGGCAGCACATCTATAGCTTGTTAATGTCACAGTTTAAATATTCCTCCAGAGGTTATGGAATCCATTTCAAATGCTTTGTAGGCTTTTGATGGACAGGGAGAAAAATCTTCAAAATAACCTGTCACTTAAATTTGTGATCCTGTTGCCCTGTGGGGTCAGGCCAACTCTCAGGATCTCAGTATTGCACTGTTAGACAGGAGGGTGTGACACAGTTGCACGTATACAAACACACAAATCTATTGGGTGCATGCATACACTCAGACACACACACTCAGACACATACATGCATGTGTGCATGCACACACACATGCAACCCACCTACACATATACACACAGGTAAGTTCCTAACTTAAATGGTACTGTGTGGGCTCTTGGGGTAATTGGGAGAAGGTTAAGGTGAGAGAGAGAGTTAGTGTTGGGAGTGAAAGTTGCCAGAACCAGGATTAGAACTGGTGGACTAGAGAGAAGCTGGCTGAGGAACTAAGGCTTGGGGTTACTTAAGGTAGATTGGGATTGGAAACTGAGGCAGACAGATATGGGGGGGGGAGGGGCAGATAAGTTGTGGCAAGGAGGAGACAGCCAGGGAAGAGAGAGAGGCAGAAACTGGGGAGCTTGGGGCAGAAAACTGAGGCTGGCAGCTTAGAGATTGGAGGGGCCAGATAAGTGGTGGCAAGGGGGAAACAGTCAGGAAACAGACAAAAACACAACTTGGGGTTTCAAAATAACAGGTTTATTAAACAGACCACACACACACACACACACACACACACACACACACACACACACACACACACACACACACAC